GAAGTTCTTTTTATACTGGACTGGAAAAAAAACTTTTTTGAAATAAATGTACCGCCATACTGTCCATAAAGACTTTCTAAATATAGATCTTTTCAAAGTGCCATCAATCCTTTTGAGTGTTGAAAAACGTCTAGGAATTTAATCGTATCATTTTCTTCGTGTTCTATTGTGAAACTGAGATTCGGCTGGCATGAGTTGAATTTTATCAACAAAGTTTTCAGCTTTTGATGTGCTTTCACAGACAATTAAAACATAATCAACATATCTTAGGCCATTGAGAGCGGAAGACATGAAAAGATTAGCTGTCTTCGATCATAGGTGTCTGCGTTCTATCTCCCGTGTGAAGTGGTATAATAAGGTGAGCAATACTGAGGTTAGGTATTGGTCGAGTGCTAGGTAAGGAGGGGAAATCAATCGACGAGACTGTGAAATTACATCGACTGAAGTGGTTAGGACATGTGTTACGATTATGCCTAGTCATCGCCTTCCTCGACAATGGGCAATGTTAGCTGATATAGGGTCAGGCTGGAAAAGAGCTAGCGGCGGTCAAACGAAAACATGGCACCAGTCAATGAAATCTACAACAGTTAGTCTAAGCCACGTAGGTTGGCACATATGACCAATGGTTCTCACTCGTAGTGACTAACCAATCTAAACTTCTTTTTACAACGAAATACTAAAGACAGTGAACTGACTTTAATGGAAAGTAGTTTTTGGTGATCAGATGAAAATTGAGTGTGATTTTTAGTTGTTTTAACCTCTTAGAACGAGTCCTTGTGAGTAATGCGTGTCTAAACCAGTGTCTACGTGTTCATTTCTTGTATACGTGTGATCAGATCATGTTATTAGCGGATATATGACCCCATCATCCATTTTACTAATGCTTTATTATCTTTTGAGAGAATGACTAAGACATTTATTTTATCTTAAATAACCAATAACCTTTCCGACATTATTATAATAATTCCCTTTGGTTCTGAGTGGAATATTGGGCTTCAACAGTACAACTCTGTTTTGTCCTGTTCTCTGTAGTCTTTTTCATCTGTCCACTTGTGATTGTCAATAAAGCTCTCTTCTCCTCTCCACACGGTCTCCTCCATGTCACTCTCGGACCAACGCCCAACTCGTCGTTTCCCAATCGTGTTAAATTCGAGCGATGGCCTTTTGCGCGATGTCTCCTGTGTGTTTAATCCGACTCACCTCCATTTCTTCTGGAATATTTGTTGGCCAATAGTTTCTTGGTTTGTTTGTTCCCAGAGTTCGCTGTTGCTAATCCTTCCTGGTTGGCCATTTGATCTTCAATATGGAGTGGAAGTGGCTGTTGATAGAAGTTTTCCGCTTGTCGGAAATGCTTTTCGTGACGAGCTGGCCAAGTTCTTGACCCATGTAGTAGAACTCACCGACTGACATAACATTGGTGTTGAAAATCCGAATTTTGTTGTTGTGATGGTGAATGCAGAGGATTTCTAAAGTGATTTGAGGAGTGATGGAGGACTGTGTTGTCTTTCCGATTATGGTTTTGACATCCTCATATATGCCGACTGCCTATAGTTGAGATGTTGCTACCTAGATAAGCAAAGGAAGTGACCTATTTCAAATTTCTTCCATTGATAATGATTGGTGCTTGTTGTTGGTTGGTTATCTCCATCACCTCCGCTTTCTCTAAGTTCACTTGAAGTGCTGTCTTCGCTGCTTCCTCTGGTACGTCTTCGAATTTATGTGAAGCTGGACATAAATCGTCCGCGAAATCCATATCTTCCAGAGTCTTCCCATCATTCTTCTTTTGCTCCCAACAGTCTGTTGCCTAATCCAATTCACCACAATTAGGAATATCTTCAGTGATAGTAGGGTAGTCTTAGCTTACTCCTGCCTTTCCTGAGTTTCTAATTATGAATCAGTCGATAGGTAGCATTGTCATAAAGATGCTGAATGTGGTTTGTGAAAGATTTAGGGCACTGCAATCCTTAGTGTGTTGTAGGAGTTTCCATATTACTTAGTTATCATTTCAACAGCAGACAGAGTAGATTTGTTTGATGAAATCACACAATGATTCAGTAATAATGACGTTTCGGGCACAATTTATTGATTATAATCAATATTAAGGCACTCCTATAGCTTTTCAATCAAAGGATAAGAAATAATGGATTGATATAAACCAAGTTTGAAAGTTATGTGAATGCCTTGATATGATTATATGAGCAGTAAATTGTTCTGGAAACGTTATCAGTAAATAATACTAAAGCATTGTTTGATTTTATCAAATAAATTTACTGTGTTAATAGAATCATACTCTACCATAGTGCCGAAGTTGTATTCTTAAATCATTTTAACACTTTTAAATTATATCTGCTTCTTTTTCACATAGAGACTTATACTTACACTGTAATTATTCTAGGCAGTGTATTTCGAATCATTGAGTTAGTAGCTGTAACTCCATCTTCCAATGCGTGTATAGCCAAGTCCAGTGTCTATAAGCATTGCATGTACTTTACGATGTCTAAGTTTAGCCTCCAAAGTCTCAGGATGGTCGGAGGTGGGTGCCTTGCGCTGCGAATTGGCCACCCCTCCACACACCTCTTAAAATGCTCCCATATGACCGGGCGTCTTACATAGCCTCTCCTGAGGAAGTCCTACTCACCGCCTTCACGTGGTGGAGGTGTTTTTCATCAAAATGAGAGGGCGAAAGCGGATGCCCGGCGCTCTTCACCGGGTTGACTGTCCATTGGATGACAGTCTAGGGGAGATGGCTAAACCCTGATTCCAAACCTCCGACGACTGGTGTATGAAGCTCACTGGAGCTCACCGGCAGACGTATGGACAAAGGGCTTGTTGGATGTCCTGGATGTCTGGCCCCATTCAAAAAGGCGTATGAACCGAACTCCGGTCACTGGCTGCCAATGGATAGTGGACTCCCTACTCCACTCCTACTGCCTTGTAGGTCACACTTGGTTGTGTAAAGGCTAGAGCTGCACTCTCAAACAAAATGCCGAGCGATTCTGAGGTCATCACTCGTACCAAATTCCCATGAAACTTCATGAACTCTCTTCATCAGATCGCCGCGCCTGGGTAGCGATGATTCGAGATGTTCATGAAGCCGGCTCATCCTCCCGTAGGAGATAGCCGAAGTAAAGTAAGTATGTCTAAGTTTAAGGTATTGTTGCAAGATTGGTAGGAGCCTGCAGTTGCACTGAACAACTGTACAGGTGAACCACTTGAATTTTACAACAATTTCGTGTATCAAGGTTGTTATTTTCGGGTGGTGTGATACAGACAATGTGTGTGCCAATGGAATATTATTCTCACATATTCCCACAGTTCAATTCGGCACTATCAACAGAATACAGTATATCTATTTAAACATTCTATTTGATGTTAGAGGCAGAGTACTTTCCTACGGTTATATACTGCATTGGCAACAGAATAGTGCGTATATTTGAACATTTTGTTTCCTGTTTTTTGACTTAAACCGAAGTCACACGCTTGATGATTGGTTAACGAATATAAACTGTAGATATATAAACAGCTGTTTGATGAATGAAAAATATACTTTGGCTTACGTGTCTTGCATTCTGTTGTTACAATTTGAGTGGTGGTGTGACAGACGAAATCTCTAACCATATTTTGAAAGCTTTGGTGGTATGTGCCAATTCGGGCTACCTCTGACACTGTTTCGAGGATTTCAGTATAGCTATCGCGTTTATATTGCCTCGGTGCGCGTAGTCTTGCTCCACGCTTGTGAAACTTAATTAAACTTTCTGAGCTAAAGGTGTGCAACGACCGTGCATATTCGATCATCGTTATCTCGGCAAAATCGCTTACTTTCAATGGCATCATCGTGTAACTAATACTGAAGTCCGGTGATGTGTTTGGAAATGATGGAGGTCACCGTTCATTCAATGTCGTCATCTAGAAACACCGACCTTGGTGACTTGTACAGGTTCTACGAATGTCATCGTAGAGACTTCCATGTCAGAGTCTGTTTTTTGCTAGCCCTGGGACTGAATGGAAAAGGCGGAGAGGTGTTCATGCTATGACGTGATGCTGTGAAATGAAGGCTGTTTGTGTTAGGTTGGCATCGGTGTTGGTGCATCAAGACTCCCTGGCTGGGGTCCGAGAGACAGACAGTTCAAATCGGTGGCTCGAAACGTTACCAGACGTGGCCAAGAATCACAATAAATGGCAAACATGCTGCGGCTTTCTTCTTGTTTATTCCATTTCTGCAAGTAATATGTAGTAATGAATGGTGGATGATGTGTCTTGATAAGTGTGCTTGCTTTATTTTTCTGGATGGTCTGTCCCTACTTTCCTTACATATTGTTTTTTTATTATTATTGTTGTGTGGCGCATCTCTTGGTGCCTGTAATGTGCCAAGTTTGTGTTTATTAAATGATAATACTAATGTGTATCTAGATAGGGGAATGTCGGTGGTATAGCGGTTAGGACGCTCGCCGACCATGCGCATGGTACGGGGTTGGATCCCCAGCCGACGCACTCCTTTACCTCGCTGAGCCAGAAATAATGCTGGTGAAGAGGAAAGGTCTGGCATCAGTCTAGCAACCCCATCCTGTAAAATAAACACTGCTACAGAAACTTCAAGTCTCTAGCTTGAAGCCCTATGTTCCACTGGGGAACGTGAAGGAAAAAAATCAGATAGGGGAATATTGTCTCACCGATAGTGGACACAGAAGAGGAGAATGCTGGGTAATATACGAATTTGAGCTAAGTGTGTGTTCTTTCTTTGACGGAGGTTATGAAGCATTGATAGTCAAGGTAAGACTCACTCTGTCATCTGACTGGAGTTATACTCTACCACAGTGCCCAAGTTTTATGCTTATGGCAATAACATCAGATGCTGGTAAAGTTAAATCATTTCCTCACTGTCGGACGCTGCTCATTTTTTTTAAAGTGGCTTGTTCAATTTTGCTTAGGCATTATTATCCTATCAGTAATTTTCCGTATCTATAATTTTTGTATGACTTTGTTGATTTTACTTCCTCTAGGTATCAGCCAGTGTATTACGTAATCTTAGCTGGCGTACAGATAGTCGGAGTAAAGCTGCACTTCGGCGTGTTTGTGCCGCCAAACGCCTAACAATAGCGGCTATGAGTGCACAAAAAGAAAGTACTCTGCGAACTACACTTAGTGCTTTATGGAATCTCAGTGCTCACTGTTCACAGAACAAGAAAGCTGTATGCAGGTAATTGTTGCTTAAAATACAATTTGCTTTAATATATATATATATATATATATATATATATATATATACCAGTCATTTGCCAAGAAGAGCAATTAACTGTATGCTTAGCTTGTTATGCCATGAAACAATTTGAGACTGACACTGTCTGAAACGCCTCATTTAATTTAGCCAGATTTTTCATATGTTAGGCTATAGATATTTTATGACTTTAGTGATGTGTGTTTCGAATGTACGGAATCCTGTTTTCTGTGTGTATAGCTAACTGTGGTATATACTACTTGAATCAATAGATTTGAGTAGTATATGGTATGACATCATCCAGTGAAGCAGTGGTAATGTTCGTATATATAAAAATTGAGAAGTACTGTAGAGGATACTCAAGACAGAGGCTTACAATCCTTAATAGGAATTGAATTAGCTATGGAATAGAAGAACCAAATATTCCTATTATTGAAAGACTCATATTGTTTGCATGTGTATATGTGTGTAAATGCTTCTCATTGACTGAAACATGCGGCTTTCAGTCAATATAAGTCATGAGTTCGAATCCCAATAAAATTACTTTATCTTGAAGGCAACTAGATAGATATCATCCTCCCTCATATAATAAGTGTGGCATTTAGCCTGATTTACGAAAGATCCCTTCTGGATAATTCACTTGAAACATTTGTAATTAGTGGAATTATTATTATTATTATTATTCACTCCTTGCATACCGAGTGGAATATAGGACTTCAGGGGCACATTTCCATTCCAGTCAGTTATCTGCTGTCACTTTCAACTGGCTGCATGACATCCTGCAAGGTTTCATTTCCTCCTCACAGTATTCTTGTGTCGCCTTGGGAACTCACATCGAACTTGTCACTATATATGGCTTATAAGGTGGTCACCTAATCATATTCTCAGTGTATGTCGAATCCTATCTCCATATCCTTCGGCATACTTGTTGGTCAGCAATAGGTCGCCGTTGGCTACCGCCGTTGCTACCAGAGTTCCTTGTTTTATTTTCTTATCCTTTTTGGTCATTTATTTCCAGTGTCAAATCAGCGGAAGGAGCTGTTAGTGAGAGTTTGCAGTCTATAGGAATGGCTGTTTCATGATGTGCTAGGTCTCTACAGCACCATATAGAATCACTGACTTGATATTTGTGTTGATAATACGGATCTTGTTTGTTGTATCCGAGTGTTGTAGATCTTCACACTGATTTCAGAATAATGAGCAACTATCCTACCTTCTCTATCTCTCTATCTATCTGATTTCAACATCCTCATCTGTGTCGTGTGTTTATTGGGAAAACAACGCTACCCAGATAAGTGGAAGAGTCGACTTCCTATAGAATTCCTCCTAATAATGATAATTGATGTTTGTTTTCGGTTGGATATCTTCATCACCTTTATCTTAAATAAACTTCAGGTTCAAGGAGTAGATTTCTCATACTTTAATTGTGTCTCCATTCACTTTCTACAATTAGGCTAGTCCATTAATAGAACAAAGATTCATACATTATGTAATATCACTCCTATTCAAATGTACATATGTTGACACCATCACTGTGGTGGTAATAAGTTGGTTCGGTTCGTTACTCTGAACAAAAAGGATAATTAGCGACTGGTAATTAACGCATTACTCTAAAGACATGAGTTATACTGCATTACGGTGTAGATGAGAAACTGAGTTGCTGTGCAAACACAACAGTATTCAATAGTAGGATAGTTTATCAGTCAAAATGATGTTTAATTGTGATACATTACAAAAACTCTACATTGGAATTTCAGTTTGCGAATCAGTGTTCGTATCCTGCTTCTTTTGTCTTAACAATTTTTTATTTTTTATTTTGATTACAGCTTGATTCCACACCGTATTTTTGGTACATGTATGGAATTTTCAGCATGTGATATCGGTAGCCCAAATTTTCCAGGGGATCGAAAACCCGAACCTTGTGCATGGTCGGCGAGAGTCCTAACCACTGTGCCACCGACGCACTTACAGAGGAGGCGGTCTCCACGCGCGGACCGGGCTGTCACATGACCATCATTCACAAGCGCTATCCGGCTACCGCACCACGCGGGGACTTTTGCCTGCTGGATTTCCCCCTCTGGGCCGGTGCGCTTCTCCTTAGTCGACCTGGACAACCCGTCCTCCGACAGGTCATCCATATCGGCGCTGTGCTTAGCGTGGACGCCCGATCAACATGAGCAGCCATATGCCAGAACTCCCGGTCCCGCGAAATTCCGCACCCTGGCCTCCAAGTAGCTAGATTACAGGCGTACGCCACCACGCCCAGCCTCCTATGCCTCCTATGTGTTGTTGCATAATGGAACTTTCATTTCTCTTCTTTGCAACTAAATCTGTTGCTGCTGTTGTATTCAAGATTCTTGTTTTAGGCATCACACGCAATATTATTATTCCCAGTGGTACATAGGGCTTCAACAGCACATATCAGTTTCACTGAATTCCCTGCAGTCCTTCGTAGCTGGCTCCAAGACTGACCATAAGCTCTTATCTTCTCCTCACCCGATCGATCTCCTTCATTTCACCGTCAGACACACGCCCATCTCGTTGTTTCCCAATTTGGGTTCTCTTTGGAACTCTCTGCCTGGCGCGTGATGTAGATATCTCAGCTATCTCCTCAGTATCACACTCAATATACTAACAGTAGCATATTGCCACACTAGCTAGCAAAACTGTCTAGTTGTGTTTAAGTTTGATAATCTTTTTTGCATAATTTCTTGTTTAAATTATTATTATTATTAATACCAACAATATTATTTTTATGTTTTAGTGTGGATGGTTTGCTCCCATTCCTCTTAAGAATGCTGCGTCTTCAAAATCCTGTAGAAAATTTAGTTATCATTGAAAATAGTGGTGGTATTTTACGTAATATCTCAACAATTATTGCTTCGCGTGATGATTATCGGTAAGTTTTGTTGTGGTTGTTTGTTGGTGTTGTTGTTGTTGTTGATGTCTTCTGTATGTGTGTATGTATCTGTGTGTGCTACTTCAAATGCCTCGATGATATCTTCCCTTTCGTCGTTGCGTCGGTGGCACAGCAGTTAGAACTCTTGCCGATCATGCACATGGTCCGTGGTTCGATCCCCAGCCGACGCACATCTGATATCCATAGTCGGCCTGCTAATTTGAGCTACCGATATCACACGCTGAAAATTTCATACTTGTACCAAAATACTGTGTGGAATCAAGCTATTAAAAAATAAAATAAAATTAAAATTTGTAGTCTGTTGGCGTGATAGCTTATTAGCGTTTGAAACAATGAGTGACTAACTGGGTTTCAGCATAGAACTTATCACAAAAGTGCAGTAGTTCGATTTGTCATACTCCATGTAGCACACGAAAGAAGACAAAAGACAGAAAAAGGTAATTTAAAAGAAATCCAATAAGCAGAAATGTAAGCGAGGAAGAATAGTGACATGGAAAAATATGCCAGTTCAGTGGATACGGAGGATCACAGGGAGTGAATACATCTACGCCAGTGACAATCATTTTAAGCCATGTCACTAATAATAGTCTCTATACATTGATTCTTGGAATCCCGAGTACCACAATCAGGCATTGAAATTCCATTATGGATAAAATTTTATTTTCATAAAGTCACACAGTGTTATATAGTAGTTATATTATTCACTGATGACCACGTTTCGAGCACAATTTGTCACTGCTCATAATCCTATCAAGGTACTCACGTAACTTTCTTACTTCATTGATATACATGAGTAAAAATTGATTAGAGATTTGAATAAAATCAATATAAGACTTGCATTTTATCCTTACATCAACTTGCATTGAACTTCTTGAATTCTGGTTGAACTAGTCGAAGAAGCAGCAAAGGAAGGACTCCAGGTGAACATAGATGTTTTTATTTTTATTTTTTGATTACAGCTTGATGCCACACCGTATTTTTGGTACAAGTATGGCATTTTCAGCATGGATATCGGTAGCCCAAATTTTGCAGGCCGACCATAGATATCGGGTGTGCGTCGGCAAGGGATCGAACCCCGGACCATGTGCATGGTCGGCGAGAGACAAGACGGAGGTTATGAAAATAACCAACCAACAACAACAACAGCAGCAGCAACATCCAGCGCCAATCACCATCAACGGGAGCATTGTCTCAACTACAGGAGGAACGGACGAGCATGTCAAATCGAGAATCGGGAAGGCGAGAAACACATTCATCAACCTGAAATCTTCGTCACTCGGCATCAACAACAAAATTCGGATTTTCAATACAAGCGTCAAGTCAGTCAGTTCTTCTATACGGATCAGAAACTTGGCGGTGGGTCACAAAGAATATTTCCAACAGCCTGTTGCAGACCTTTATCAACAACTGTCTTCGTTCGCTCTATACTGAAGATCAGATGGCCGGAAAGAATCACCAACAAGAAACTATGGGAACAAACAAATCAAGAACCAATCACTCAACAAATATGCAAGAGAAAGTGGAGATGGATTGGACACTCGTTGGCTGAGGAGGCCGTTGGGTGACATGGCGCGTCAGGCCAGTTCTCGAGTGGAACCCGAAAGAGAAGCGGCGAGTGTGACGTTCAAGGGTGACATGGAGGAGATCGTGTGAAGAGGAGTTGAAACCGTATAGACTAACATGGATGTAGGTGAAAAGTACAGGAGAAGACAGAAGCAAGTTGAAACGTGCAGTTGAAGCCCTATGTTCCACTAGGAACTCAAAGGAACAATAATAATATAATAATAATAATACAACACGAGGTTATGGGAATGTAGCCAGAGAATATTCTAACACCCTTATGATGAATAGTTTAGATTGACTGAATGTATAGTAGGCAAAACAAGATGGTTTTTTGAGCGAACAATTGTTTTCGACGAAGATTCTTCCTTGGGCTTTACAGTTATAAATCAATGAATATTAGAGTACGAATAGCCAGCCGTGTAGGAAGATGAAAACTATATCAGAAAATTTCTGTATTTGGATACATGCATAAGAGATGGAATGATACTTTGTTAGATAGTTAATATTGTGAATTAAATGTATAGAAAAATTTAGTCATTCAGAATATAAGATAAAATGTGAATAGACTACTGGGTGATAAACTAATGTATATGTAGTCAACAGAATATAAGTTTCATTTGGGGGGGGGGTGAAGGGTGATAAGTTAGATTCATTGGTGTGAGAGAAATATGATTACTGCAAAATACAGAAACAAATACGGGCAATTGGGGAACACTGAATGTAAGTTAAAGGGCTTCACTCCATTATTATCCTTATTATGTGCGTCAACCCTTTATAATTTACACTAAGCTTTATTATGCCTTTAGTATTTCATTACAGTTCACAAGTTAACAACATATACATTTCATTTCATTTACATTTAATTGACAATATTAACTAGCGAAGTATCATTCCATCTCTTATGCATGTACACCCCAATACAGAAAGTTTCTGACAGAATTTCAATTTGCTTCTAATGGCTGGCTATTTGTATTCTTATATTTATGGATTTAGAACTATAGAGCCCGAGGAAGAAGTTATCGAAAAAAAGTTGTTCGCTCCAAAACTATCTTGTTCTGATAACACTATGGAGATTTTCTAATTCAACTGAGTACGCAAGATTATAATCTCGTACAACTCCAAATTGCATTCTCTCCTCTTCCTTGCCACACAATCCTTGGTATGAAGATGTGAGTTGTATGCATCCATGTCTTGTATTGCCAGTGTTTGTTGCCATCTGTCTGCCTGACCGATAGCTGCTACCTTGACGTGGTGGTCGGGCTTGCATATCACAATGACTCAACGAGCTACACTGGCTGGAACTTATGTTCCTGAAGGTCCTACCATGCCAGAAAGGTTGTTTGGATAGCGGTTAGACAAAAAGCAGCTACCCAATCCTACACTATGATTCAAACGAATTCACAAAATATCATGCCGGATCGGTCGGTGCCCGGATTAACAACGACCGCGCTTCCTGCTGCCGTGTCACAGGGCAGAAGTGATAAATATGCTACTGAGACACACCAAATGGAAAAGAACAAAGAAAAACAGGCTGTGTGTGACCGGCCTCAAGCAGTTGTCCTCTGGGCTTTGCGGTCACTCAACACTCTTTCTGTTTCAAGTTCCCGTAGAATCAATCAGCTTCCACGGTGTGGGCAGCCGGGAAGTAACAACCGCCCACACTTCCAAAAACACACGAAGCCTTCCTGAACATCACTCTCTGTCTCTCTGTCTGTCTCAGATATCTAGAGTTAGTAGAGCCAGCCTAGCAGTGGAATTTAGGATGAGCGTATCCTCCTTTCGTTGCTGTCCAATTGTTGTCTGCAGTAGTCGTCTCTAACATGAGTATTTCGCTTTGTTGTCTCTTAGGAGATAATTTTCTCTTCTGTAAGCAGCATGTTTGTTTAGTTATTTTTCTTACATTGTTCTTTCCTTTTTTTGTTTACCACATTAAATCTAGGTCTATTCTTCATCAATACAATTGTTTCCCAATCCTCCTGGAGTTATTACGTAATCCACCGAGTTTAACAGTTGTAGTGAATGTGTGTGGTACACTTTGGAATTTAACTTGTTCTTCATTAAATAATATAATTCCCAATGCCGGTAATAATGGTAGTAATAATAATACCTCTGCTACTTCTACTACTACCACTACCAGTGCTGCTAATACTACTAATATCGTAGTCAGTAGTCATCATGATCGTCTACTTCTCCTACAACTTGGTGCATTAGAATTAATTCAAAAGTTAACACAATCAAAACATGATTTAATACGTAATAGTTCAATGGCTGTTTATCGAAATCTCTTACAAACTGATACATCAATGAATCAGAATTATTTGCCGTCATCGTCATCGTCACATAATTATAACCAGAATTATACAGATACTACTGCTAATACAGCTACTACTACTAATTATCAAGTCTCAGTATTGAATGTCTTCACTAGCACACCACAGAACAGTACTAATAATCATCAGCAAACATATGATGGTGGTTCAAGTAATAATAATGAACAAAATAATTCATCTTACCCTCCAGAGACATCATCATTAGCATCAGTATCACAGACGACAACACCAACATCATCAGGTGAACAAAGCTCTTACAAACGTCGAGTTTCATCTAGGTCATGTAGACTTCGTTTCGGCTTATTGTCGGTTGTTTTCGAAGCTGAAAGTGATGATGAAATCGACGATGTCGACGACGAGGATGATGTTGATGATGACAATGACGATGTCACTGAAGAAGATGAAGTAGTTGAACATGATGATGTAAGTGAAAATGGCGGAGAAAATCATCATCATCATCGTCAGGAGAGGGAACAAGTTGAGTATGAAGCAGATGAAAGTTTCCCTCATCCTCCACATCATCATCATCATTATGAAGGTGAATTATCTATGAATCGTGATCATTTCAGTTGTCATGATAATAAAAATTCTGAAAGTTTATGTGATGCTGAAATTATGATCTCTGAATCAACGGATCATTTTCCTGCGCCTCCTCCTCATCACCATCATCATGCTCATGATCATGAACACGTATCGAATTGGTGTGATCATCCGGTTAGTCATGTGAATGACACTGCACAATTGATGACCGATGAAGAACAAACACGTGTATACGCTGAAGAGGGGACACCGTTTCCACCAGACTCAACAACTGCATCCTCTTTAGAGTTGAACCGCACAGATGAAAAGATTGTCCTGAATGATAAATGCGATAAAGTGTACAATACTTCAAATGAAACACAAATAATATATAGCAATAATAATAATAACAACCATGAGAGCAATAATTATAATCTCCCGCTTACAATGTATCGCAATGATCCAGTACCTCATGTCTATGCTATGGAAGGTACACCATCGAATTGTGATAGTCATCTTAGCCGTGAAGATAGTATACATAATAGTGAAAGTAGATTGAATGAAATGGATTTCATATCATATACTGGTACTAATACTACCACTACAACTGCTGCTACTGCTATTCCTACGACTACAACTGCTACACATTGTGAAGCAGTTCACACTATTGACGATAACACCTATCTGCCATCACCACCGGCGGATATCTCTAATCTAGTCTCACCATTAACATCATTGAATTTAGAAGATTGTGATAAATATGCCGGTTGTCAATTCCCTATGCCGCCTCCACCACCTCCACCTTCACAACCATTGTCAATATTTCCCATAGCCTGTAGAGAATCAGATGCAGAGGTTGTTTTCTCCTCGAAACAAACTCCTTTAGTCTTTTCACGTGGTACATCATCCTGCTTGTCTTCATTAGACTTAGAAATTCCATTCCCTGGTGGTGGTTTCCAGTCATCACCAGATAGTGAATATTCAAATCAATTGAGAAGTAATGATCTTAGCAGTGATGTAAGCGGTCATTTCAGTGGTGGGATTAGTAGCAATAGTAGTAATAGTAGTGCTAGTGCTTGTGATCGTAATGGTGGAAGTAGAAATCATAACAGAAATTGTAATGTTGAAATATACGCAAATGATAGTTGTTGTGTTGAAGGTGAAGAAGATGAAGGTGATGTTAGACTACCATTCGCTGAAGAAGGTACACCACAAGATGCTGTATCGTTGAATGGTGGTGGTGGGAACACTAATCCTATGTATCTACATTCACACACGCTTAATCAGTCTGAGATGAAGAGCAATATAGATGGAATGATGATGAATAGGACTATTTGTGAAGTAGGCGATGGTGTCGACGTGGATATCGAGGATGACGATGATGAGGATGATGATGATGATGATGACGATGAAGATGGGAATAATCAACACTCGGAAATATTACAACAATGCATTGCATCAGCTATGCCATCGAATAATGCCTTCAGTGTATTATTAAATCATTCGCCTACTACTACTAATAATAATAACAATAACAAGAATTTCTCTAATCCTTCTGATATTCTGTTTAATGAAACTGATGATTCATTGAAAACTTTTGCTGTTGAGAATACACCATTCAGTAATTCAACAAAGGCTAGTTCATTAAGTGATTTAATCATTTCAGAGCATAAAGGATTAGTGCAACAAGAGGAAGAAGACGAAGAGGAAGGAGAAAACAATATCGGAAATGATTCCAATGCACATTTACCTCATCATGCTTCTTTATCAACAACAGAAAATATCAATCTAAATCATGGTGGTAATAGTTCATCAACATCAAGTTCCTTGAATGGTGATAATTCATCTGATTTATTATCTGAAGTTATACAATCAGCAATGCCTAAATGTGCTGGTGGTGGTGGTGGTGGTGTTGGTCAACTAAGACTATCTAATCTATGCTCAATGATTCAAGCAACGGATGCTGATACTGCCGCTGCTGTTGCTGATGATGAGGAGGATGACAATGAAGTTGATGGCGATTGTCTACAAATGTATGCACTTGAAGGAACACCAGGAGGTTTAAATGACAACTTGTCATATTCCTCATCTTTACCGAATGATGAAGGCGGCAGTATGATATCGGAAACATCGAATTCTTTATTATCTATGATACCGAAATCATCATGTCTATTTCAACCGTTGAATAATAATAATAATCAACCGCCGCCGACACCACCATTGCGGACTACTTCAGCGTTGACAACTACCAGTTGTAGTAATAGTAGTAGTCCAGATCCATTCGCTAAAGTATCGGATCTGATGAGGCCAAGAGCAACAGTTGCACCTATGCTACAGACAAAGTGTCATTCACTTAATTCACCGATTGTTTCGCGTTCCCAAAGTAAGTATTCCCCACCCCCAACTAGTTTGTTTCTTCGCCTTTAGCCCCCACATCTTATAACCATTTTTTTCATTAACAAATCTAGAATAGAATGAATCTATCTAGTCATATGTAAATTGCACAATTCGAAGTGATAAATCACCACTTCCTGGCTGGGGTCCTCGGGACGGTAAAAACCAATGGTTGGAAACGATTGGTGACATGGCTCAAAATCGTTCTCAGTGGCTGGTGCAGATGCATCCACTCCTTGTGACTCATGATTTCCAATGAAACTGTTTTGTTCTTCGTTATTACTATACCTTTGTCTCACACCTCTGTTTACTGTCTATATTATTATGCATTTCTCCTATTTTCTTCTCTTGCTTTGTGTGCTACAAGGAGGGAGCGTGGCGACTTGAACTGCCACACATCGGTGCAAAGTTCTATGTCGAAAACCGACTGAGAAATCACCCATACGTTTACTTAGATAACAATATGTATTTTATGTCATTGATGCCATGAATGTTGGTCAATAAAAACTAGTAAAATGTCTTGATTAGTATGTGGTATGAACTGATTTCTCTGAGTAGTCGGAAACTATTCATATCAGACAGTAGTGTTTGTTAGCTAGATGGAACTGATTTAAAAACACTGGACTGCCTTCTCGGTCGTTTTGTGCAGAGCTCATCAGTAATGTACCCTACATATATATATATATGATTCAGCTCAGAGAGTCGAGTCATTTCAAGTCATTCAAATTCTCATTGTCTACCTAAGGAGGCTGGCTACTTGGTGGTTTTCAAAGGAAATTGTGGTGATATCTCAGCTGGATTTGTGTCATTTGTAAATAAGGAATTTGATTCCGTATATATATAACCAGTTCTCTCAAGCATTCAGTTAGAACTCGGATAGTTTGAACTGATTCGTCTCTCTAACCTGAGTCCTTTACTGCTGTCCAACGTTCAGGTCACTTGAATTTGCCTGGTAAGAATCAATGTTTGATGTGAATGATTTCCAACTACTTATAACAGTTCATCAGTAGTATATATGCCTAGGATATTTTATACAATGTAGGTTTAAATACTGATGTTATTTGTTTTTTTCATATATGTCAAATTGAAATCTGTTTGGCCGGCTATCATTAACAATTTATGAAGATTACTGGAATACCTTATTTTAATTCCTTAACTTACGCATCTCAAATTACCTAATTGGTTGCTTACTAATTAGTATCTGCAAAGTACCTTTTCTGATTCATATTAACAGTGCACTCAATAAAGCTGTTTCAGTTAGTCAAAACTCAGTTGCCCGAAACATAATTTTCATGTACCATGTTATTATTATCATTATTCGTTCGTTCGTCACGTTCCGAGTGTAACACAAAGTTTCATTGACACATCCCCATTGTATTCGGTTCTTTGTCATCGCTTTCAGCTTTTTCCGTGACGTCCCACAAGCTTTCATCTTCTCCTCACATATTCTTCTCTGTGCCATTCTTGGACGTCCAACCAATCATTACACATTCAGATTCCACTCGAAACTCTGTCTGGTTTTTGATTTCATTTGAAGACCTCAGTGTATGTCAAATCCATTCTCATTGTCTTGTAATGTGCGATCGTAACTCGAACCCTGGACTCCCACTGAATGGAAGTTTAGTCCTTATACGATTCTGTCACATCTGCAAAGCTATTTCTAAGTAGATAAATACTGAACTCAGATCGCAGACTTTCATCAGCAGCTGCCTTCGCTGACTACTAAAGATCAAATGGCTGGCCAAAAAGGATTAGCAACAAGGAATTCTGTAGTGCAACAAATCAATCATGACCCTATCAGTGGCACTAGTAAAAAATAGACGCCACAGTCAAATGACTCTGAACCTTTTCCATAGGAGTGTCTATAGACATATCAAACCAATGTCTATAAAAAAATTCATCTAAGTCGCTGTATATCTTATCATATCAGGAATCATTTACCATTCTAATACGTTTTTGTAGATGGCCGTAGAATCCTTCACTAGAGTTTGTAACAGTTCCACTTATAGGATTCAGTAAATTATAAGAATGGTTGGCTTAATGATGAATATAGACAGCCTAATGATGATAATTGCAAATGACCTTTCCACTCGTGTGTGTGTAAATGGTGGTACTTGGGAGAATTAGTCGTTGTATTACTGGCATTAAAACATCATCTCTACTGTTTTTGGAATGCGTTCTGCTAACTCTTTTCAAAGATTTGTATTGTACAGTACCAGAACCTAAACATAATTTACTCTTCTTCTATCACTATTCATTTCACGTTTAAGTATTTCCATTGGTCTTTTAGTATTCTCTGTTTCCGCAGCCATATACTAATACTGATCGTCTTAGTAGCCAGTTGTGGCATATACAAAATATTTTAGTAGGCCAATGTTTCTATTTCAAGAAGAAAGTATTTAAAAATTACCATAATGTACGACTTGCCAAGTCCTACAGACTTCCTGATATACCAGCGATTGCATCTAAATGCATAACCATCAATAGCCCAACAATACTTCTGAAGAGTCATTATCCCTCCACTACATATGAATGTTTAGTCCTCCCTATAAACCAATTTTCCACACAGAAGTCAAAAACCAAATCCGAGTGACCAACATGCATTTGTAGTGCTGAGCGATCTGATTGGCCGGTTCAAGGTCGTTCGACTGTAGTGCCTTATTCTTTACTGTCGCCCTATTGACATACAAATATACAGAAGGTGATGGAGATACATTAGACATACGCTTTAGAAACCGTTGAGTTACATACATCGAGTGGAACTCGAATGGTAGACGATGAGTTGGGTGTGGGTGTCTGACGGTGACATTGAGGAGATCCTCTGTAAGCAGGGGAAGTAAGCGTATAGTCAAAAGGAATATATACTTTTGAAGCGTTATTGTTTCACTCGGAACGTAAAGGAATAATAATTAAAAAATAGTACTAAGCTCAAGTCAGTTACTATTATTATTATTATTCCCTTAGGTTCTGAATGTAACATAGGGCTTCAACAACACATCTCTACTTTGTTCTATTTGATGTTGTCCTCGTCATCTGGGTCCACGATTGATCATAATCTCTCATCTCCTCGTATGGTCTCCTCCATGTCACCCTAGGACGACCCACTCATCGCTTCCGAAGTCTGTTAGTTGGTTAGTATCTTCTTCCTAATTGTTATCAAGAATTTATATTCTTACTATATCTCTTTCTCTGTATAGATATGTCTGAACAATCATCGAAATCATATCTACATCACACTGAAATTGAACGTAATGATGATGATGTTGATGATTGTATCCTAATGCCTAACTCCTCGTTACCATCCTCATCATCTCCATCGCATTACACTGGAGGAGGAGAAGGAGGAGGAGCAGGAGGCGGAACAGTTGGAGGAGATAAAGATGACGCTAGTTCATTTTCATCGCTACTCAGTATTGAATCTGTTGGAATGGAACACTCCTTATTACAAGAATGTATATCATCAGCTATGCCACGACCTAAGTCAATATCACTTCTACGAAAACAACAACACCAACAACCGCATCAATTTAGTCAACAACAACAACAAAAGCAGCCATCATCATCATCACCTCAACAACACCAACAACAACAACATCAGCAAGGTGTTCAACTGATGGAAGAGAAGTCTAGTCATCAACCTATTGACAGTGCAGATAATCATATGGTCAATAGTCCAACACTGTCATTGTCTAACTTGCAAGTTTATAAACCATCACAACCACCAGTATCGAAGAAATCGAGTCAAACACAAGCGAAAACACAACAGCAAACTTCTAGAATACCAAGTCATAATGCGAATAAAACTTATACAAAGTCGAATAATTCATTGCAAGCTACTGATAACAGCAGCAGTAGTACAATGCATTTTTTAGATCATGGCTCCGACGATGTACAACCGCCGTTGTGTCAGAATACGAACTCACCGATGACGATGATGATGATGAAGAAGCATACACTGAAGACTAGCAGTACTGTTGCAACTATTCCCACTGCTAATCCTGCTGCTTCTACGATTAGTACGACTGCCACTACGGCCACCTTCACTGTCAATTACGGTGATAAAAATAATAGTCATAAGAGTAATAATACTAATAATCATTTGCCGCAAGTGTTGAATCAAGTTAGTTGTGCATCATTCGGAGCCAGAATTCCTAAACGTAAGCATTTTAACGTTTACTCGTTCTCAGATGTTAATGTTTTTTTGTTGTTGTTAGAATACGATAGATTTCAGGGTAAATGTTTTAATTTTCATGAGTTAGTTGTGATAGAGATTAAATTTTTTTCCTTTTTCAGTTTGATCACGCATTATTATCATGTAGAGAACCGTTGAAAACTATCGAATAGTGGTGAGTGAACTGTTGTTTCTTCCTTGCTTGGGACTCTTCAGCATTGCGCACCCATGAGCCGCCCACTGGCGATCGAATCCATCGACCTTCATGTAACGATGCGTACTCTTTGACCATTCAGCCACTCAGATGGTATCCAATAACCAAAAAGATCTAACTTCTGTCAATTCTATAGTTTAGCGTGGCGAATTCCTACAAACTAACTTTTTGAAAATTAATCTGATGGCCACTAGTAACTAACTACAAGACGAAGTTACCTGGATTTCTAGTGAGAAGTCATGGTCAGTGGGGTCCACCAGGTCGGGTGTGTTGCTTATAATACCCACCGATGATATTGACTGACGGTCGCATACTTTGTATCGTAAAATTGGCAAAAATAAGAGTTCATGGGCTATTTATTAGATTCCCTCCCAGTGGTTAAATGATCCGCAACATCGTCTTGTAACCCGTAAGTCTTGGGTTCGATCCCTGATAGTAGGATGAAGAGTCCTAAAAGAAGGCGAAACAGCCTTCCAATGCTTCTCTAACTGATGTCAGTTTGTAATCGAACTTGGAATAAATATTTAAAAATTTAAATTAGCTTTTTCTGCAGTGTTCAGCCACATTAACCCGTGGAGGATTGAGTCTACTAACACCACCAGGTTATGATGTTAAGCACAAATTTAAGCTTAAACAAAGAAAGAAGAAACATTGGCGCAGAATAATCTGGATCCATTTTTATTTCGTTGGTTCCCATCAGCTGCGTACAACCTGAATTTTTTTAAATTAAAAATATAAAGTGTACAATTTTAACAAACCTTTGTCCATTAGCAAGCATAGTGTCAGAGCGTCATAGTAAAATAAGGTACATGTTCGCAGAATCTGACGTAGGCCTACGTCATGTAACAAGGAGCCTGTGGTTAAAGGGACCGAATTATTTAATCTCTTCAATCGCCAAACATCTGATTGACACAGGACATCGAGTAGATGTGCTGGAATCATTCAAAATAATTAACAGACAAAGTACCTCAAGTCTTCTCATGTTTGCTGAAGCTATAGCAATACAACGATTTAAGCCTGACTTATGTGTCCAAAAAGAATCCGTCGTTAGACTTCAATTACCCTGGTAACTCCTTAGTAACTCTTTGTTTTCTAATTTTTTAAATTTTGTTTACTTATCTTTTCACTCCACCCCCCACCCTTTATGTTTCGCTTGATTCTCTTAAGAGATGATTTTTCTTGATCTTCTGAGTTGTGCTCACTGTATTACATCATCAACTTCTCATCTGACCTCGTGTGCACCGTAATTTTAAAAAATTTTGATCTTCTCTTATATAATTACGTAACTATTGCTAATTGTCTTTTCTTACCACCCTAACAACACAACTGTTAACTAATTTTTTCAAGAAACTTCTCTCTACCAAGATATATATATGTCGTGACACTTTAGACACTCTGTAAATCTCAATGCCTTATTTTACTATGACGCTCTGACACTATGCTTGCTAATGGACTAAGGTTTGTTAAAATTGTACGCTTCTTTCTTTTAATTAAAAAAAAACTCAGGTTGTACGCAGCTGATGAGAACCAACGAAATAAAATGGATCCAGATTATTCTGCGCCAATGTTTCTTCTTTCTTTGTACAAATTTAAGCCACTGATTTAGTAACTTTTTCATTTATTTGAGCCTTGAGTTAATCCATTTCCCATTTCTTATTGGTTTACGGATGTCCAACACGTCGAATTATTCCAGAATAAATTGTTTAGTAAACTAACGCCAGACCGATAATCATTGGGAACTAAATGATAGTTCTTAGCATGCATGACACATGTTCCAACCGTCTGAACCAATGCAGATTCATAATCTCATCCATTCACTTTCCCTACTTACCTGACACGCTACACCTAACCTCACTGTTGGTGATTAGTATTATACCTGACACTAGAGCTGGAATGCACATTTTATATATTCAAAGGAAACTCTAGTGAGTTTTCAACTCAAACAATGTAGTTTTGCAAATAACGAATTTGTTTGTAGTATATTCCTTGCGGTCTCAGAGTTAAGAGGAAAGGAGAAATCTTCCGTGGAATAGTATTAACAGTAGAAGGATAGCAAAGTGATAGAAGTAAAGATGGGTGATTGTCAGGAAAGCTTTTGTGTATTTATGGAAGTGTATGAAGACAGTTATTACTTCCCAGTTGCCCACACTGTCGAATTTGATTTCTTCTTGCGGTGCCTAAAACAACTTGATGCTGGTCACATACACAGTCTGTTTGGAGTAGTGGTTTTTCTTGAATTGTGTCTGTATGAAGATCTTACGGACGACTCCGGACCACCATAAGGTAAGTCGGGATGTACAATTTTCGGGTTGACCTTTTCTAACCTCCCTCTCCAGAGTGAAGAGGTAGCATAACTGACTTACTGGTCGACAAAAGAAAACATCTTACTGCTGTTACAGCCCTATGCACGAGCGGTGCGACTTCGTCCACAGACACCCAACATACTATAAACGACTTACACTATGACAGTGACTACTTTTAGCCCAACGGCTATCCAATCAACCTTTCTGGCGTGGTAGTGCGACAGCAGAACTCAAGACACAGAAACCAAGGTAGATTTTCAAGTGATCAAACCGCTATTTATATATCTACAGTCTTATATTCTCCAACGAATCACTGAGCGTGTGATTTTGGTTTACACCAAACGACATGAAATACAATGTTCAAATATACATAGTATTCTGTTGCTAATGCTAATATTTGAGAATAATATTTTGTTGGAATATATTGTCCGTATCGCATCACCACAGTAGGACCTGAAGGGACATTCGTTGCATCTAGTGTAACTCATCGCGATATGCAAACCCGATCACCACGTGAAGTTTGCAGCTGTTGGTCGGGTGCGCCGCACTTCTGCGCTAAGTTCTGTGTTGAAACTCCGTCAGTAAGTCAGGCATATTCATTGGGGGGGGGGGGGGAGAAAGGAGAGAGATGGAGTAGTTTTCCATAATTTAATTTTAGAAAGCAAATATTTTTTATTACTTGTTTTTCAGTCATATTTTTTATGTATGTGATTGAGAGAATTTCCTCTTCGTATAATCATTTTCTATACTTATTTCTAGCTTCCACCAATGTAACTTTCAATACAGTTAAATCGTCATCACAGTCGCCTACAGACAGCAAAAAATCTCCTCAATCTATAACAGAGAAAACAATTAATGAAATTCTACCAAATCTTAGTAAACTTACAACTTCATAACAATAATAACAACGGCAATAATATGAAGTCTGGTTTACGTCCACCTTCTGTCAAATCGACATCATACATTGGTGGTAATGCATTAAACACTGTAGACAATTCAAGTGTCAATAATAACAGTAATAACAATTTTGATCCAAAATATATTAGTGAACTCTTAAAAAAGGGTGCTGAAGTAAGTATTCCAGTAACTCACTGTTTTGTATCTTTTCGTTTAAAACTATATACTACTTATTAGTTTATGATGAGTAGTTGGATATAAGTCACATCAACCAACAGGCTGCGTATATGAGATCGACCCCGTTTGGTGTTCAGATCAGTTTGATCTGGCTATCAAGCAGATCACATATTGTGATCTGAACAATTTTGGTCCCTAAAAGAAACTGTGGTGAAAATTCACCATCCCCCTTCGCCGAACTGTGTAAATCGTAATTTAATCTGCGAATTGCGAATTAGATTTATGCCCATTTTTATTTTCAAGAAATTTTTTCACTGTGAATATTATACAGTTTATATTGATTGGTCCAGAGATGCATGTGGCTTATGCACCAACTCACGTTATTTCTGGTATAGATGTGATATCGAACTACTGATCAGAGAATATGTGTGAAATGCAGCAGTTAGTTCCATCTTTCTTTATATTCAATCTGCACCAAATAAAGGACTAGACACACAGTCCTACAGTCCTATATGAAGTCAATCGTGAATCCGAATAGCTCAGTGGTAACGTCTCTAACTGCAGGTGGCACTGGGTGACGCGGGTTCTAATCTCAGAAGGGACGTGAGTTCCTTCAAGGTTACAGATACGCCTTACTGACTAACTGGTGAGTGCCAACTAGCACGAAACCTAAGTTTAGCCAAGGCTTCCTGCCGATTGCCTTCAACCATCTAACATATAAATCTATATATTTATTATGTTCACAAGGTAATCACAGGTTTTGTGTGTGTTGCCTCCTGCCTGTCTATCTGTCTATCTGCGTGTATATTTCCACTTTTTAGTCATTTTATATAAACCATTCAACATTAAATTGTTTTTTATCAATTATCCAATTAGTGTATAATTGAATGAGATAGAATAGACATTTGGTTCCTATCAACAAGCAGAGCAAAAGGAAAGCAAAAAGCTCAGTAGGAAGAGATGAAGAGAAATTTGTTAATTACCGTTGCTCTCTCTCTTCTTTGGCATTTTTCTTTTGTTTCTGTGTTTTTTGTCCAACATAATTTAAAGACTATCAGTAGATAAAAAAGCAAACCCCGGTCATGTTACTCTCTCGCCATTTTCTCTTTCTCCCTCTACTTTTTTTGAAGGGGAAGTCGAAGAAAAGCACAAATAGCATTTTTCTTTAATTTAATAAAAATAAGATTTAATTTTTCTTTTTTGTCCAACAATTTGTTCCAAAAATAAAAAGAAAAGAAAAGAAAAATTATTCAATTACTCGCCTTCTAAAAAGGTGTGAAAAGCGGGGAGAAATAATTGAGGCTATTTCCCTGTTGTTATTATTATTATCATCATCATTTACTTCGATTTGTAACTGTTCTCCCCTTAGATATTGATTTTCCTCTTTCCTTCATTTTCTGACTGGAATGTAGAGCTTTAAGCCTTGAGCTTTGAAGTTCCAATAACGGTGTTGTTGTTGTTGTTTTCGTTTCTATACGGGTTTGAGTTGCTGGCCTCACGCACAACCTTCTCTCTTAACCTGGCTTACTTAGTGACCAAGTCAGGTGATTGGGATGAAAAACTCGAAGTTATGTTTAGTAGTGACCAATGGCGGAATCCAGTTTAGGACGAGAGTTTCATCCTACTTGGGACTCGTCAGGGAGGTGTGCCTGCCTCCCAGTGTGTTCGGCTGTTCCTAATTGAACTTGAACCCACACTATCTTTCGTTTCAAACGCCAAAGCGTTATCCACTATGCCACAAGGGACACATCTCGTACATTGAGTATGACTCAAAATTATTTATTCATGTTTCTGATTTCCTGTCGAAGTATCCAACTGAATTGATCAGCTTCATTTTGATATGTGGACTTGAAACAGGATTGAAATATGTAACTTCTAACTATTTCAGTTATTCAAGTGTTGGTTTGTAGGGATTTGATTGGTTACAGGATTTTCATCATGAGCTGACATTAGTTAGAGAACCACTGGAAAACCTGGGATTACTGGACAGCTGTTTCATCCTAGGTTGGGACTCTTCATCAGTACGCACCCACCGGGATTCGAACCCATGACCTTCTGGTTACAAGGCGAGCTCGTATACCATTAAGTCACTGGGACCCGATCCAATGGAAGTTGTAGTACTGCTGTCATTTTGAATAAAGCTAGAACGACAGTTTATGGTTTATTTCGTTGGCTTTTCATTGTCTACGTACAGTCTAAAGAAATTAATTGAGTTTACGTACAGAACAGTTTTAACATACTTTCAAATGTTACATGATGTCAGTTGACAGGAGGCTCCAAACTGTATAAATAGTGCTCAGAAAAAAGTTACACTTATATAGTTTATACCCAGAGAGTTGAAGTTTAAACAAAAACTAAATGGTTGCTTGCGATCTCAAAGGTGTTACGTAACAATAAAGGCAACAGGTGAGTAAGATAATGAGTAGCGGATAAATTGAGTGATGACAATACAGTGGGTTCAGCTCAAATTATAGAAAAAAGAGAGCTCTGTTTATTAAGTTTGGAGCCTCCTGTCAACTGGCATTATGTAGCATTTGAAAGTAGGTTAAAAATTAGTTCTGTATATAAACTTAATAATTTCTTTAGGCTGTAACGCAGATGATAAGAAGCCAACGAAATAAATGACGGTAACATCTTAGAAATGGGATGAAATGATCATCCTCTTAACCTCATGGCCTCATCGACGCCACCGTTCTGTAAGCCAATATGTTAATAGAAAATGACCATTTTCCCCACTGTGAAACATCAGCTAACAAGAAATACAAAGCAGTAACTGTTACCTATTGCACAAGATCTGGCTGTTATCGTTAAGTACACCAGAGGATAATGCTGTGGTGTTTGAAACGATGGGTACTGCGTTCGAATTTTAGTGAGAACATTATTAATACTCACTGAGAATTCAGACACATTCAGTTGTGGAGACTTAGATAGGAGCATTAGCCTATGCTGGATTTCATTGTTCACCTCTCGCCAACCACGCGAGAAGTTCGGCTCTGATTCTCGACCGACGCATTTCTTCCAAACCTCGTCTAGTTTACTAGCCAATAGTAAGCTAAGAGAAGGGTGAGAGTTTGGATGCAAGACGATCAACCCCACCCCGTAAAATAAACAACACCTTCGCTACTGAGTAGATGGACATTATCAAAAGTATAAATTAATATTACCTTTTTTGATGTTCCAAGTTATTCCAACGAATATCTGCCCTTCAAAGCGGAAAATGTTGCATGAGAGAAGAAATTCAAAGTAAAGTTAAGGTTTTTAAAAGTATATTTCATTTAGAGACAGTGGAATATAAAGAACATGTTGATAGTATAAATGAATATTCTCTGACCTTGTTCACATTCTCACAGTCCTCTTTTACATACAGATATTCTCATTGTGTTTGGTTTTCATAGCCAGCAGTTGAAGGACCTCAGGCTACCTCGTTATCTAAAGTTTCTGGGTTCGATCGTCTGTGGAATTATGGATGAGAACTGATGAAGAGTCCTATGCCAGGACGAAACGTCTATCCAGTAGTACTCCTTGGTTTGTGTGACAGTGGTTTATTGGCAGAATACTCACCAACCACACACGTCAACTGGGGTGCGACTCCCGGCTGACGTGATCCTAAACCTCCTTTAGTTGGTCGTAAGCCCAGTAGGGAGGGAGGGTCGGGCCTGAAGAGTCAGACAACCGACTTTCGTAAAATCAACACCCGCTACTGAAACTTATAAAGCTCAATTTTTTAGCCCTGTGTTTCACTCGAAATGCAAAAGAAAGAAAGAAAAAGAGCCACTATGATTGTCTCCTTATTATCGTTCGACTTTCTCTTAACATTATTCCGTATTTACATAAGATTATACATGGGCATACATAGCAATTGTTTTCATGTGTGACCACGCACGATTTTTTAACCTAAAGATACTTCCCTACACATTCTACACGCAGTGACTTCTTGGTCGATTTACTTACCACGTGAGAAATGGTCGAAGTGGCGAGAGATATCTTATCGGAGCTAGAAATTATTTGAGGAGTAAGCAAACAGCGGCTGGATCTTTTTTTAAAAGGTATAAAGAGGATCACTCTACTAACCAGCTTATTAAAGTTTATTTTTTGTGATTACAGCTTGATTCCACACCGTATTTTTTGGTACAGGCATGGAATTTTCAGCATGTGATATCGGTAGTCCAAATTTTTCAGTCCGACCATTGATATCGGGTGTGCGTCGGCCTGGGAACGAACCACGAGCCATGTGCATGGTTGGCGAGCGTCCTAACCTCTGTGCCACCGACGCACAGCAGTCATCGGAATAAGCAGACTAGTCAGTATGTCCCAATCATCTTATTTTATATACGTTCAACGAAGAGTTATTCTCTACCAATTATATTCATTCCTAAGCTGCTATACAATCGCATACGCACGTTTACTGTTGTTCATTCTCAACTCACCTTCTCGTTTTTACTTTCTTTGCTTTTCTATTCACTTACAGACTGTGGTCTCAGATTTAATGAAATCCTCTGAATCCAATGAGAAAACTGATCCCACAAATCAAGAATTAAAACTGAATTCTCAGTCAGTCAGCAGCGCTGGTATTAGCAGTAATAGTAGCAATAATAGTAACACTTCAAGTTTAGAACTTTTACCTGAATTCATTGAATTAGACCAAATCGGATCAAATACCTCATCACAAAATAATATTAATAATAATAATGAAAATGAAACTAAGAAGACAAATGACATTGCTGTGAACAAGTCGGTTGAATCTGGTATTGTCTTACCCACATCCATTGGAGTTATTGGCAAACGATCATTCATCACTCCGCCAAATACGTCATTATCTAATAATATTCGGCCGGTAAATTATACCATCTCATCATCATCATCATCATTGAATAAACCCGATCAGTCATTAAAAGTTAATAAAAACGCAACTGCTGCTGCTACTACAACAAATACTACTAATATCAAGAATAGTAGTAGCCAGAATAATATCAATAATAGTGGGATTGTCAGGAATAGTATACCGACTTTATCAAATGCCTCGTCAACTAAAAGCATCAACAGTACTCGAGGTGGTAGTGGTGGTTCCGGTAGTCATGGTGATAAAAGCAAAAATCATCAGGTAATTCCTTTGTTTTTTTTATTTCCTTCATTCTTATAAATATTCATTATAATAAAGGTTTTTTTATTTCCCAATGAATGAGAAAAACAAAACGATATTGTTTTTACTGACGTTTCGCTATTTAATGCTGCTAATAGCTTTATCAAAGTATTATTAAACCGGAATTTACAAAACCTCAACATATATATAACAAAGAGTTAAGGGGTGAGAAAATAGACTTAGGTCAAGTTAAAAGGACATATTAAAAGTCAAAATAACAATGAAGATCACTAAACCAAATAACATCTGTTATGGTATCAAAACAAAGTGTACTAACTTGATCATCGTTCGTTAAACTGGGGTCATTTTTCGTTGTCAAGTTGGTCATTTGATGAAATCTATCTAATCCCAGCAGAAGCATTGAAAGTGGACCCAGAGACAACAGCGGACTTGATGACGCCACTACTGGAGAAGGTGTGGAAAGAAGGCAAAGTACCCAAAGGATTAGCAGAAGAAAGGATACCTATTCAAACTACCAAAGAAAGGAGACCTAAGTCAATGCAAGAACTGGCGCGGAATTATGCTCCTGTCCATCCCAAGCAAAATACTAAGCCGCATCATCCTGGAAAGGATCAAACAAGCCCTGGATGAAAAACTTCGACCAGAACAAGCTGGATTCAGGAGAAACAAGTCATGTATTGATCAAATCGCCACACTACGGATCATCATTGAACAAAGTTTGGAATGGCAGTCACCTCTCTATCTCAACTTCATCGACTTTGAAAAGGCCTTCGACAGCGTCGATCGAGACGTGATTTGGAAACTACTTCGCTACTACGGGGTGCCACCGACAATTATACATCTCATCCAACAGTTGTATGACAACGCTGCATGCCAAGTTATCCACAACGGGAAGCTCGCGGAACCCTTCGAAGTGAGGACAGGAGTAAGACAAGCTGGCTGACTACTATCGCCAATGATTTTCCTGATTGCAGTAGACTGGATAGTGCGACAAACAGCGGGCAATGAGGAAACAGGCATACAATGGACTCACACAAAAAACAACTTGGAGGATCTGGACTTCGCCGATGATGACATATGTCTGATTTCCCACAAACTGGAAGATATGCAAGTGAAAAGTAACAAGTTGGCAGAAGAAGCATCCAGAGAAGATAGGCTTTCAGGTGATCATAGAGAAAACGGAGGTGATGAAGATCCCTGGCCAACACCACCAACAGCAACAACAACAGACAGCAATCAGCATAAATGGGAGGGACCTGAAAGAAACTACCTCCTTTACCTACCTGGGAAGCATCGTTTCAACTACAGGAGAACGAAACTGACGAGGATATCAAAGCAAGGATCGGAAAAGCAAGACAAGCTTTCACTACTCTCAAGTCTGTGTGGAGGTCAACAGCACTCAGAATCAAAAATCATCAAGATCCGGATTTTCAACTCCAATGTGAAGTCAGTACTACTATACGGATCAGAGACTTGGCGTGTCACAAAGAGCACCTCAAACAAGCTACAGACCTTCATTAACAGTTGTCTTCGCTCAATACTCAAGATCAGATGGCCGGAAAGGATCAGCAACAAAGATCTCTGGGAGCGAACCAACCAGGAACCGATTGTGAAACAAATAGGCAGGAAGAAATGGAGATGGATTGGCCACACTCTGAGGAAACCAGCAAGTGACATCACTAGACAAGCCCTCGAGTGGAACCCGAAAGGGAAGCGACGAGTTGGTCGTCCAAGGGTGACCTGGAGGAGATCATGTGAAGAGGAGATGAAAGCATGTGGGCAGACCTGGAGCCAGGTGAAAAATCTAGCAGAGAACCGAACGCAATGGAGACGCATGGCTGAAGCCCTATGTTCCTCTAGGAACTAAAGGAAATAATAATAATAATAGTAATTACTAGTCTTAATGGAACTGTGGTTTTATGTATCTTTGGTTTACCGTAGAATCTCGAAGGTAAATAAGATTTTGGTTTTAGGTTAAACCAGAGAGAATTTCCAATTTTTGATTTCATTTCTTGAAGGAGTCTGTTTGTATTTAGTTTCATTTTGTTGAATTCGGCAGATTTCTTCTTCTCTTCAATGAGTAAGTATGGTCCTTCAGATAGATGTTCAATCGCCTTCTTTTCATAATCCGAAACGTCAGTAAAAATAATATCGTTTTGTTTTTCACTCATTGGGAAATACAAAAACCTTTATTATAATGAATATCATATACCCAATGCCCAAATTTTTTCAAACTGTTAAAAGTGAACTTGGTTTGGACATATATTTCTTATAAATAATTTATTTTTTGCCAATATCAATTCACTAAATGGATATTATTCATATTATCATTACCCTTGGTTACCGGGCTCCACGATTGCTCATAAGTTCTCATTTCTTCTTCACATTATCTCGACCACGTCATTCTTGGACAGACGCCCAACTTGTCGTTTTCTATCCAACTTCCATTCGACGGCCTTCGTGGTGCGTGTAATCGTTCAACAGTTTCCTCAATGTATGTGTCCGATCCATCTTCATTTCCTTCAGCATATTTGTTAGGCGAGATAGGCTCTTGGCTTTCTTTTACTGGCTATCAGAGTTCCTTGTTGCTAAGTATTTCTGGTCATACCATCTTCAGTATAAAGCGAAGACACAGCTGTTTGCAAAAGTCTTCATTAGCTCGTTGAAAGTGGTTTGGGTGACGATGTGCCAAACATCTAAACCATATAGAACGAAGCGGTGGTTTGACGTTGTTGTTTGTTGAAAATCCAAATCTTGTGCTTTTTGCTGAATTCAGTCGATTTCCAGACTGGCATCAGATTTTTTCGATCCCTCCTTTGACATCCTGGCTAGTTGAAACGATGATGCTAACTAGATAAGGGAAAGTGGTGACCTCCTTCAAACTTCTCCCGTTGATAGACATTGGTGCTTGTTGTTGGGGTTGCTGGTTAGGTACCTTCATCAACTCTGTCTCCTCTATATTGACCTGAAGTCCTGTCTCCCCTGCCTCTTGGTTTTTTACCGGTAGATCTCTAAGTGAGTATCTTTGATATCAGACATAAATCATCCACGAATTTCAGATCTTCTAGAATCTCCTTATCGGTCCAACAACGTATTTATGTCTTCCTGACCCCCACTGTCTGCTGAATGATCCAGTCCATCGCTCTCAGGAATATCATCGGTGAGATATAGTAGGAAGTACCTTTGTCTTCCTCCTCTGTTCACTTGAAGAAACGTTAAAAAGAAGAGACAATTCAGTAAAGGAAATATTTTCTTCTATTGACAAAGTCATCTTTGAAGGTTGTTTCTACTCACCGGAAACCATACAACTGTCTATTGTTAGGTAGTTTAGAGGGGGGAGGTGTTTCTGTGTGCGTGTGTGTGTGATAATTGTGATACAGTTAAGTAACTCAGACACTTTCTAAACACAAAACGGAATTATGTAATAACTTTTGAGTATTAGTTTGCAGGTACTCAAATGACTTCAAGATCGATCATGAACTAACTTCAGTAGAAGAACCGTTGAAAACCAGGGAGTATCAAACAGCTGTTTCATCCTTGTCTGTGATTCTTCGGCAAAACTCAGAAGTTAGAATTTATGGGCCGTTGGATTCCCTCCAAGCAGTGGCTCAATGGAAAACGAACTCGCTTTATAATTTTAAGGTCTTGAGTTTGACTCTGATGAGGTTATGGGTATCTACTGACGAAGAGTCCCAAACAAGGACGAAACAGCTATCCAGTACTCCCCAGTTTTCAATGGTTCTCTAGCTGAAGTCGGTTGGTGAACAACTTTATTTAACAATTACCAACAAAATCGAATCGTTTAAGGTGTTTGATGAGTTTTAAATTATTATTTGGTGAAACGATAGGTGGTGTAAAGAAGGTGAGAACGTAACACTAACCATTTCGTGGTATGCTTTAATGTCACCCCTAATAATGGAATCCTGGACCCTCGTTTCCTCCCGATTTGGGAGTCATCGTCTGGGTTTATTTACATTCCCAGTGAGTGGTGCGTGATGGGTTGCAGTCTCAGCGGAGCAACGCCATTCACTGAAAATGCAGACACTTCCATTGAAGAGCCCCAAATGGGACGAAACGCACTTCCTAGTCTTCACTGCTAATCACCGCCCACCAAATTACTACAAAACTTACTCCTTAAAATAAGGGAGGAGGGGTCTTTTAAAACCTATTGTCGACAAATTTCATAGTGGTACGTAATACTGGTTAGTTGGTATAATTAGTAGTAGTATACTACTCACGTGTGCTTACTAACCATATCAAAGAAATCCAGATCTTTTTGGACCTGAACTAATCCGAGATTTACCTCGTTTTTAACTCCGCTCAGTGAGACAAATCAGTTCAAGTCACCAGAATGTACTCTCGATAAATCACGATTATATCGTTAACCCCTGGACACAATTATAACATGTAAGATAATAATCTATCAAATAACGAAGGTATTGCATTCAGTTTCTTTTTCAGCTAAACATCTTCATGATGTTGTTAAGCTGTGTGGGCTGGAAAATTAATTTTAATGCAAGAAACCATTTTATTTTGTTTTTTTCTTCTATACCGGAAAAATTGGGTCAGTTGTGTGTACTACCACTACTAGTAGTAGTGGTAATAGCACTAATGAGGTAGTACTGTTGTTTAAGACCTCCTACAGGGTAAAAACCCTTCAACAGATAAGATCTCAGTTAATTTTATTCTCCTTAACTTGTACTTTTTTCGTGTTGTTGTTAATTGACGAGGGGTGGGTAGGAAAGTTTGGGGGTGGACTGAAGTATATCAACTAGGTCATCGGATATGTATTTTTCTTTTCGGTCATTAATTTCAATTTATTATTTTACTAATGTTCAAAAAATAAACCATTTATTCGGTTGAACGACTTGTTCTTTTCCTATTATTATTATTGTTTCCTTTAACTCCTAGATGAACATAGGGCTTCAGCCGTGCGTCTCCATTGCGTTCGGTTCTCTGCTAGAGTCTTCACCTGGCTCCAAGTCTGCCCACATGCTTTC